TCACATGCACATGTCATGTGATTAGCTGTGGTCAAATCACAGCTAAGCACAAAAAAAAAAAAAAAAAAAAAACCCTGAATGAATCGATGTCATTCAGGTAAATGCTTGCTTATAGCAAAGTAATTCTTTGCTATAAGCAAATTGTGTAAAAAAAAAAAAAAAAATACTGATCACTTCCCCAAAGTAGTACAATGTTACTTTTACTACTTTGGTCATAGTGAAATATGCAAAATAAATCTTAAAAAAAATAAAAAAAATGTAATAAAAAATAATAAAAAAAAGTAAAAAAAATTTAAAAAATATATATATTTTTTTTTTTCATACTGTCGCCAGTCAGTGTCCCTGATCACCGCCATGCCAGTTATATGATGACGCTGTACTGCACTGGTGACAATATGTAAAAAAAAAATAGTGAAACTAATTTTTTTAATTTTTTCATTTTCCGAAAAATTATGACAAAAAAAAATACAACTTCAAAAAACTCGCCATGCCTCTTATGAAACACGTTGGACTGTCTACTTTGCAAAAAGGGGTCATTTGGGGGATATCTGTACTGTTCTGACATTCTTGGACCTCAAGAAATTAGATTGGCTGTCAGTACTTCAGGATTGATCAATATTCAGATCTATACCATAGTTTGTGAACTCTATAACTTTCCTACAAACTAAAAAATACATCCTAATTTGGGTTATTTTCACCAAAGACATGTAGCAGAATACATCTCGGCCTAAATTTATGAAGAACAATTATTTATTTGCAAACGTTTATAACAGAAACAAAGAAAACCTTTTTTTTTTTTTTTTTTTTTTTTTTTTTTTAATTTACTAAAAACCCCAGCGGTGATTAAATACCACCAAAAGAAAGCTCTAGTTGTGTGAATAAAATGATAAAATTTTAGTTTGGGTACAATGTTGTATGACCGTGCAATTGTCATTCAAAGTGTGAGAGCGCTGAAACCTGAAAACTGTCCTGGGCAGGAAGGTGTAAAATTGCCCGGTTTGAGTTGGTTAAACAAAAAAAAATGGAACTTTAGACAAAATTAAAATGGCCTTTTTGATGCAGTTTGTCACTATCATATACAGTACACTGCAGTTTTGCATTTTTTGAGTTCCCCTTGTAATATACTGTTTTATTATTACCTGTTGATCTTGCCAGTGGATGCATTATTTTTCTGTTTTCTGTAACCAATTGCCAATACTGTTAGTTCTGCAATGAAAGTTTGAATTGTTGTCACCCTGTGGACTTGAAAAACTTATACGGATATACAAAGAATATGTTTATTAAGGTTTTACTGGTAAAATTTGCTGAGTGAAAAAATCGTAAGATTCAAGTAAGTGAGATTTGCCCTGTATGTTCTAGCAATATTCATCCTATATATTATATGATATTCAATAGGCCAATCCTATTAGTTCAACTCTTACCAGAACAAATCTTGATAGTACAGTAGCAGCTATTCTTGATCTTTGGATGAATCTTTGTGGAAATGTCTTGGGTGAATCTTGGTAAATACCAAGAATGTCCTGTCTTTCATTTGCTGACATACTTTCCATGGTGCTGAAACTGTGTTTATATAAAAGAAAAACAGCGAAGAGGTGCTTTAAATGGGGGCTTCCCCAAAAAGCAGGGTTCCCCCCAAGTACCATGCTAATGCTCCACCTACCTGCCTCCTCAGGGGAGGCAAGTAGGTGGTGGCCCCTCCCTCACAAACTGGGTTTAGGGATCCTTTGAATGCATACATGTACTGTATGTAAGAGAAAATTGTAAACGTATACCACATTTTAAAAGTTACTCTTTTTTAGCTAATATTTACCTTTCCAAATTCCAGTGATTTCCAAAAGATATCTTGCACTCTATGCTATAGCCATGTCAGTTGGGAGTTGGGAGAGCACGGGTCCCCCCTTCTTTACTGCTCAAACAGTTCCCACCACTGACATGGTTTTAAGTGCCCATGGGACTCTGGGGAAGGGGTTCCCCTGACATTATTGCCCAGATACAGACAGTGATGTCACAAGGGTGTTTCCCCTGGGTTGCAACAAAAACCGCTACTTTTGCTAGACAGCCTGTCCTCTTATAGGAAGTTGAAAAATAACTTTAAAAAACTTTACACTTTTAACTTAACTAATTTAAAAAAATGCATAATGATGCAGATATTTAATATGGAATACCAATATTTTAAATGAAAGTAGTTTTCCATGTTACTCATTTACCAGTAGTGATGTCTGGGATTGGAAAGTCCATGGAGTGCCAATGTGGTAAACTAAGCATGCAGCAGATTGTCCAGCTGGGCTCTGAGACAACAGCAGACATAGACAGCAAATGGCACACTAAAAATAATTACAGTGGAAACCTCAGAAATATGCTGATGTTCTCAAAGCTGATTACACAAGAAACTAAAACTATTTATACAATACATTCCACAGGACCCTTTTATGAATAATAATAGTTACAGCCATTACTTTAATGCTTTACTAAGTCAACATTGTACTGGTATAATGGGGGTGGAAGAAAAGTGGCTGCAGGTGTCAGAGACAATAACCCCAAATCTGTCTATTAAGGCCTTAAAACAACTTAGTGACCCCTCTGAGCGCTTTAGAAATTTGATTCCAGCTCATTAGTTCTACATAAACTGAAAAAATAGTTATTCTGTGAACTAAATGACTCCTGAGAGCTGGCCAACTAGCTGGCAATACTGCCATACATGGGAGGATGTTCATTTTAGTGGTTTGTCCTTAGCTAAAATCTAATAAGGCTAGTTTGCAATCCTAGTTATGTGCTCAGAGAAATACACAGGCTGCTATCACCATCTGAAAAGGCTGGATTCTGAAATGACTTGAATTCTTTTTGAGCTTTGAGCCAGAACACATGTGGAAGTTGATGAAGGCTATTGAAAATGGGCCCAGCAAGACAGCTAATATTTTCAGCAGTGGTAGCCTTTGCATTATCCTTGGTACAGGTTTTCTTTAACAACTGTGTGTTTTTGTTGCAGCCTGAATAATGAATACAAGCATTGTACTAGTAACACCAACATGAGCTTGGAAAAGGGAATCCATAATGTTTTTACATTCACTGATCAACCATAACATTATGACTACACACTTAATATTGAGTAGGTCCCCTTTTGCCACCAAAATAGCCTTAACCTGTTGAGGCATGGAACTCCAAAGTAACATCTACATGAAGCACAGGAACAAAGGTTCCTGTGCTTACATTGTCTAAAGTAGTGTTTCTCAACCTTTTTTCAGTCAAGGCACTCTTTAAAATTATGGACAGTCCCAAGTAACCCTTTAAAATTATGGACAGTCTTTAGGCACCCCATTCTAAAATGTGGTGCCTCAAGACTGTCCATAATTTTAAAAGGGCACCCCATTCTAAAATGTGAAAAAACTATTCTAATAGTTTTCTATAATGCAGCAACATCCACACATGTCGGACACCCAACATTATAGGTGATCTATTCTTCCAAAGCAAATATACTTTTGCACACTGGTACTGACCAGTATTCCATGGTTTCTCTTCTCCCTCAGTTTTTCTCCATCACTGAGCTGATGTGACCCCAGCACTGATGGAGAGAGGCAGGGAAGGATCAAAATAGGATGATGTGCAGGCAGCTAACATACTTCTTATCAAATGATGATGTCATTGGTTGTCAGGACGCCGGAGGCTAGAAGGTCATAATGGTGCTGTCAGAGGCTGATCTAAAGTACACTATATTGCCAAAAGTATTGGGCCGCCTGCCTTTACATGCACATGAACTTTAGTGGCATCCCAGTCTTAGTCCATGGGGTTTATTATTGAGTTGGCCCATCCTTTGCTTCAACTCTTCTGGGAAAGCTGTCCACAAGGTTTAGGAGTGTGCCTTTGGGAATGTTTGACCATTCTTCCAGAAGCGTATTTGTGAGGTCAGGCACTGATGTCAGATGAGAAGGCCTGGCTTGCAGTCTCCACTCTAATTCATCCCAAAATTGGGTTGAGGTCAGGACTCTGTGCAGGCCAGTCAAGTTCCTCCACTCCAAATCTCATCCATGTCTTTATGGACCTTGCTTTGTGCACTGGTGTGCAGTCATGTTGGAACAGGAAGGGGCCATCCCCAAACTGTTCCCACAAAGTTGGGAGCATAAAATTGTCCAAAATGTCTTGGTATGCTGACACGTTAAGAGTTCCCTTCACAGTCCAAACCCTGAAAAACAACCTCACACCATAATCCTCCCTCCACCAAACTTTACACTTGGCACGATGCAGTCACGCAAGTACCGTTCTTCTGGCAACCGCCAAACCCAGACACATCTATCGATTGAGATATCAATTGCTTTGTTAATAACAATTAAATTTTATTTTATTATTAATTTATCATTTTGTATATTTTCGTGTTTTTGTCCTAAATTATTGTTAGCAATCTCAACTGGATCTAGTGAGAGACAACCTGCTGTTTTTTATAGGGGATTTAACCACTTACCCTTCTGAGTATTTACCCCCCCCCCCCCTTCCTGGCCAGGCCATTTTTTGCGTTACGGTGCTGCGTTACTTTAACTGACAATTGCGCGGTCATGCAATGCTGCATCCAATTGAAATTTACTTCCCTATTTTCCCACCAATTGAGCTTTCTTTCGGTGGTATTTGATCGCCTGTGCGGTTTTTATTTTTTTGCGCTATAAAAAAAGACTGACAATTTTGAGAAAAAAACAATATTTTTGAATTTTTGCTACTAACCACTTGCCTACTGGGCACTTATACCCCTTCCTTCCTGCCCAGGCCAATTTTCAGCTTTCAGCGCTGTCACACTTTGAATGACAATTGTGCGGTCATGCAACATTGTACCCATATGAAATTTTATCATTTTTTTCACACAAGTAGAGCTTTATTTTGGTGGTATTTAATTTTATTTTTTGCTCTATAAACAAAAAATTTTAAAAAAAAAAGTTTTACTTGTAAAGTTTCTATTATAAAATTTTGCAAACAGGTAATTTTTCTGCTTCACTGATGTGCGTTGATGAGGCAGCACTGATAGGCAGCACTGATGAAGTGGCATGGATAGATAGCACAGATGGGCACTGATAGGAGGCACTGGTGAGCTGGCACTGATGATGCTGCACTGATAGGTGGCATTTATGGGCGACACTGATGGGCGGCACTGCTGGGCAGCACTGATGGGTGGTACTGCTGGGCACAGGTGGGTGGAACTGCTAGGCACTGCTGGGCACAGGTGGGTGGCACTGATGGACACAGGTGGATGGCAGTGCAGGGCACAGGTGGATGGCACTGATGGACACAGGTGGATGGCAGTGCAGGGCACAGGTGGATGGCACTGATGGACACAGGTGGGTGGCACTGCAGGGCACAGGTGGGTAACACTGATGGGCACTGATGGGTGGCACTGATGGGTACAGGTGGGTGGCACTGATGGAACAGGTGGGTGGCACAGGTGGGAGGCACTGCTGGGCACTGCTCATCAGCGCACTGATCATCAGTGCCGATCACTGCATCATTTGCAAAGATGAATAAACATAATAATAATAAATATGAATACGATGCAAATGCTACATTTATTTATTTACTTATTTATGTATGTATATATTCATATAAGTAACTTAATATTGCACTTTAAATAACCCCCTCTAACTCCTCCCCCTCTTACGAGCAGAGGAGGTGGAGCTTTGCTCCCAAGGCATTGAGCCATGGTTATTTATAGCTTGACCTTCATACAGGCTGGTCAGCAGCTCTGAGGACAGGGACTCGTCCCCGAAACGCGTCAGACTTTTGACTGCACTGACAGTTGGAACACCTTGCCTGCCGTTGTGGCCATCTTCTTTATGCAAAAGCTGTTGATACATGCTTCGTCTGTGAGTATGTTTTTGTCTTTTATACCTTTGAATAAACCTTGGATAATGCACTAGGTGTGTGAGCCACCTGTTTACTGTTTTTCCAGTGGTTGATCTCCCCGTCTGAGGAGGTCTGCACCCCTGAAGCATCATCTTTTGGTCACCTCTGTCCTGGTCCCCTTGGCTTCCCTTTGGCTATTCATTTCCTGAAGCACTGGAGAGTACACATGATATGCAGTTAGGTTAAAAAGAACCAACAACTTGTGGAGCATAATCATCACACATATACACAGAAAATCATAAAATATAATAGGTGAGAAAATGTTACTGATGTCTTAGATGCAAATGGGCGTCATGGGCATCAACTACATATAACCAACAGCTATAGCCTCAAAACATAAAGGCTACACTGTGGACAGTGATAGACAAATAGTACATGGCTAACAATGGAAACATGTAGTGAATTGGTAGGTATAGAACACCTAAACTGATAGTATCATAGGTGTTGATGAAAATATAAACATATAGTTTCCTTTCCATGAGTAGGTACTTTGCTTCAAAATTCCAACACAATGCACAGGACAAGGTCCGCTTCTTCAGGGAAAACAAAACACATATTCCTACAGCAAGCAAAAACAGAATCAAAGACATAATAAATATGTAGTCATACAGGATTATGCAAAAAACAACATAAATAAATAAAAGGTTTAACAGCTATTAGCAGTTGATAGTACCAGCACATTGCCAGATGGCTCATGCAAAGTATAGCACCTGTCAATCGTATCTTGATGGAAAGAGGGGGGCCTCCAGCAATTACAAAGAATGATTATCAATCAAGAAAGGATCTATGTCCACTTGCAGACTTGTAAACAGCAGAATTGTCATTCTAGAGAATCACAAAATACATTGGTCAAAAAATTTTTTTTCTAAAGTTCCACTTTAAGTTCCACTTTACTTTGTGCATGTAGCCTAACTCTTCAAAACAAGGATGTTTTATGTTGATTGTCACAAGAACTTTGAGAAAAATCCAACAACGCATCCTTTTATTTTCTTATGTAATTAAGTCAGTAAAAATATTAGTTGATGAAGTGTTTCAGATGTCTTTCCTATAATGTTTATGTATTATGACATTGTACAGACTCTGTTCTGTAATTTGGGCTTCCAAAGCAGCTTCACTGTGAACTTCTCTTTGATAGCATACGTATATCACACAAGAATGGTTTGGTACAAATTCCTGCAATATCAGATTCTGTAAGATGCTCCCTCCTTTCTCTACATGGTCTTCACTTTTTAAATCATATTTCTTCTACAAGAAGATTCTATAATTTTTCCTGATAATAAACTCAGTTATTTTGGATGATACGCCTTTGTTGTGCTAAGTCTGGAAGAAGTATTAAAAGAATGATGAAATCGGCATTTTGTTCCACATTCAGAAATGTTTTGTTTCAGTAGATGAACTGAGTAGTTTCAGCTGACTTTGATCATAATCCAAGGTGTAAGGAGGCCAGGTAATTTTAAATTAGGAAGGGTAGTTGTTTGGAATTATTTATGTATTCAAAGGGTCAGGCCACCCAAAAGTGACATAACAATCACAGCTGGAGCATGGTGGACTGCGAATGTCTAGGATACTCAAAACAGGCAGATCTGGTGCTTGGTGTAATGTAATAATACTGCACCCTGAGATGGTGTATATGAGGTGAAGTCAAGAAGTGGAGGTGTCAACAGTACAGATCTGATTATTGGGAGGAAGCGTAATCAATGTTCCGCTCTCAGAAGGATGTCAGGTGTTATGTGTCGGTGTGCCAGCTCACCAACCCTTAAGGAGACTATGAAGTCTTGTGGTAAAAGGGGCCCCCCCTTCCTTGTGAGCAGGTTCTGAGGTGGTGGTGGTGGTGACTTGATCATAGAGATGTGCATGACAAAAAAATGTGTTCAGTTTTGTTTCAAATTCATTCGTTAAGTCAATCATATTTTTCGTCATATTCATTATGTTAGAATTTATGGAAGTTATTTTAGAAGATTTGGAATCATTCAGTATGGTTCCAGTAAGACTTTGCATTGTGACTTGCTTGTGACTTTGAAGCAACTTGTGTGCGACTTTGATACGGCTTGGATGCCTTGCAACTTGTTTGCAATTTTTTTGCAACTTGCTTGAGACTTGGATGCCTTGTGACTTGCTTGTGATTTCAGTGAGGCCTGCTTGAGACTTTTTTTTGTGTTTTGTGACTTTGGCCAATAATAGCTTACAAAAAGTCGCAAACGAATGAATTTGAGATTCATTGAAATTCATTACTGTTGTGATTCAGAGATTTGGATACATCCAAATATCGAAATAATGCATTTTGTCCGAATTTCAATTCAGAACTAAATGAAACGCACATGCCTACTCAATCAACAGTTCAGCTGATCAGGACGATATGTTGGTCTCTTGGCTAAGGATGAGATGGTGGATCCGTGAAGGTAGCGATCTCACAGTGGCCCCCTCAGTCTATGGACTACATGAGTAGTGCTCCCGACCCCAGGAGGCCTATTCCTGGGCTGGTTCATTCCAACATGTCCGGTCTGCTTGGATCCCGATGGCACCAAAAGAGTGGGCTTTTCCTGGGCAAAGAATATAAAACCCTCCTAGCTCTTCCACATTGGGCATGGGGATTTGTAGTTTTAAAAGTCAGCATCTCAACAGTATGGCCGCTTTCTCCAACTACATCTCCCAGTGTTCAAGGCACTCTGTATTACAGTTTTTGAGCTTGGAATGATTTGACTCTCCCCCTTCTGGTTTCTGGCTGGAGGAGAAGAAAGCAACAGCACAACAACGTCTGCGAAGCAGCTGCATTTTGGAACAAGGTCTTTAACTGGACTGCTGTAGTCCTGTACCTGGCTACATAACCTTAATAGCGCAAAGGCAGTCCCACTGCAAGGGAGTATTTCGTATTTACCTTAATTGTAGTACATTGCAGTCACTTATCTTTTTGTCGGGCATATATGCCAAATAAAGCCATTGTAAAACACAAGTAGTGACTTACGGATTGTATCGAGACCAACTACATTGGAATAATGACACAACATTGTGTGGTAATTGCATGGATCATATATGTATAGAGAGCAAAACTGTACCAGTAACAAAGAACCCAGTGACAACGAACATGAGGGTAGATGCAATACTCCATGTTATTGTTATGTGAGTACTCCTAGAGCTCCTAAAGCTCCTGTTGCCAAAACCCTATGATATTGTAGCCTATCTACACCAAGGATTGACATACTTTTTAGGTGTGGTTACTGTAGCCTTTTTGTCAGCTCCAACCAGTCTGTCCATTTTCTCACTAACAAGGTGTTTCTATCCACAGAACTGCTGCCTACTGAATACTTTTGTGTTTTTTTCCACTGTTCTGACCAAACTCTGGAAACTGTTGAGTGCAACAATCCCAGGAGATCGGGAGTTATTAAACACTCAAACCAGCCCACCTGGCATCAATATGGCATGGCCAAAATCACTGAGATCACATATTTACCCCACTATGGTGTTTGATGTGTACATTAACTGAAGCTCTTAGATTGTATATGCATGATTTTTTGCATGGTACTGATGACACATGATTGACAGATTAGAGAACTGCAAGAATAGGCAGGAATACAGCTGTTCCTAAATGGTTCTTAAGGCAGGTATTTTTTACCTTAATGCTTTCTATGCATTAAGGTAAAAAACCTATGGGTGCAGATCTCCCCCTTATAGTTACCTGAGCCCCATTTCGATCCAGCGATGTGCATGAGAGCAGCGGCTCTCCTGAGTCTCTCTCTCCTCATTGGTTCACAGGACAGCGGGAGCCATTGACTTCTGCTGCTGTCAATCACAGCCAGTGAGCCAATGAGGAGATAATAGGGGGTGGAGCTGAGTCATGCTCCATGTGTGAATGGACAGTGTCTATTCACAGGAGTGTGGCCCATGTGCGAGCCTGCTCGAGTGCCCCCATAGCAAGAGGCTTGCTATTGGGGGCATTCAGTAGGGGTAGGAGCCAGGACCGCTGGCGGGGGACCAAAAAAGAAGGGGCTACTGTGTGCAAAACCATTGCACAGAGCAGGTAACTATAACATGTTTTTTTGTGTTTTTTTTTTACAGTCTTTATGGCAAAGGTTTACTAAAACTGGAGCACTCAGAATCTGGTGCAGCTGTGCATGATAGCCAATCAGTTTCTAACTTCAGCTTGTCCAATTAAGCTTTAGGAATACAACCTGGAAACTGATTTGTTTCTATTCAGAGTTGCACCTTATTTTGTACTTTTCAGTTTTAGTAAATAACCCCCATGGAATCACTTTAATAAGTGTATGTTTCAACTTTGGTACTTGCTGTTCACCACCTGTTTGGCTTTAATAATTTCAGTATATATAGTTTGCATGGAGCATGCACAAACTGAACTGATTTTACAAAACACTGCAAGAAAAATATTATTATAAACCTAATTTCCTTTATAAGGAGACAAGCCCTAGCATTTGTTTAAATAAACATTAATTCCAGATGTCTGTTTTTTTTTTTCTAAACTCATAGTCTGAGCATACTGCTTCATCTAATCTTCATGCATTTCTTTTGAAAACCAATAGCCATTCCAAAACATAGTT